GGACACTTAAATTTTATATATATATATATATATATATATATATATATATATATATATATATATAGTAGAGATTTAGTTGTAACTAAATCTATAGTTGCATTTTCTTGGAGATAAGATTTAAAGTTTATACGAGTATCACGTTTCAGTGAGTCTTCTTTAAAGAATTTTAATTTTATTATTTTTGAAGAAACAAAGTTTTCGTTATTGTTTATTTTATCCGAATGAGTCAGCGCCGTACAAAGAATCATTCCTTTATTTACATCAACAAAATCATAGAATTCATGAAAGGTTTGTAACGATAAAAGTAAAAGAACCTTAAAAGAACCTCAAAGGCCTTTCGAAGAATGCACCAGTTGCTTTGAAAGTTGTAATTACTTTTAAAGTTTGCTCACAGTCATCAAGTTCGATATCAGAGAGATAATGAGAGCCGATCTCCTCACACTCGTAATGCTGCCGCCCAATCTGTAATATTTAAGTTAATTGATTTAGGATGACACCCCTGAATACTAAGAGCAATAACAAATAGCTTCATAATCAGTAAAAAGGTTTCCGGTTCTCGGTACCTAAGGAAGACGGTAGAATACGCTGTTTTATACTAGTATTGCATGCGACCGTGGTCTTGGCTCGGTCGAGCCGACCCATTCATGCTACAGTCGTTAATATAGCTGCAGCGTGTTACCATCACGTAGAAATGTATTGTGTGTCATTCAACCCGGTATAACGCTTTTTAGGCGTAAATTTGGTCGTTACGTCAAATTGAGTTTTTGCTCTAAATGTTCCGGTTAGGATAGGACTTGAACTTCAAAACTGGAATTTGAATCTAGTACCTCGAGCAGCATCAGTTATGATAGTACCTCTACAATTGAAATTTAATAATCAAAGCGTTAATTAATCATGTGATCGATGGTGAACGAAAACATTGTGACTGAACTTACATTTCTCATAAACTAAAAGTCCGACGACCCGCGCTAAGAAGCGTATCCTCAATGATGGAATGGATGAATCACCTAGTTCTTTAACTTTGTTTTTGTTTTCTTACATTTGTCGCAAGTAAAAACTTTTTGCGTCCTGCGATATCATGATAGACGTGAGGAGGTATCTAAAAATACGACTATATTATTCGAATGTTTCATTGACGTGCACTGCCTTTTGTAAAAGTAATAACATGATTCACAAAAAGGCACAAACCGACAAATGTGTCCGTGTCGCGGCAGATTGCATCGAAGCTTTTGCTCCGTATAAATTATAATAAACCGCCGGGACGGCGCGTTCTAATGCAAAAAGTCATTCCTCTTCCCATGGTAATCTAATGTACCCGTCTTGAGTTCAAATAGCTCGGCTTTATATATTTCATTCGCATCAGATCCGAACGTGTAACTTGGCCTGCTATGATTTTATCCGTTCATTCCTTTCAATGCATATGCGGCATGGAGGCAATTGTTACGGAATTTATTGACTCTTTACTTGATATCGCTGCAGTAAATTTACTGGTATTTGGCTTTTGCTCATGTACTTTAAATAGTCATAAGTGTGAAATATTTGATGCACTTTGATGTTTAATATCGTAAAATTAACTTAACACATACGAATAAAAAATAAGATGGCCATGTCGGGATTCAAAGCATCTATAATACCTGTGACCTGGTGCTAGAAAGGCCAAAGTCAGATTTTTAAGAAATGAGTATGAAATTTGCTTGTGTGTTATTTTCATATTTTCGAATTATTTTACATAGTACCTTTTGAAAGACTTAACAAACGTACGCCCTTTTAGCGCTAACACATTTAATACTTTTTCAATAATATGGCTTTAAAATCTCATTTCCTAAAAAAAACACTTACTTTGACCCTTCTAGCACCAGGTCACAGATATAATTTCATCCAAGAACAGACGACTGAACGTTTTTTGTTTTTAATGGTAGACTGTGATTGATCCTTTGATTTAACTTTATCCTAGCTTGCTTGATTTTGACTTAATAGTAAATGTACAAACAAGAATTAAGTATAAGGATACATGTACAATAAAGTCTACTTTATATCTTTAAAATATTATATGTCTGTTATTAGTGGAATGACTTGATTGACTAAATTTGCTTAGTAGTCGTCCAGAGACGAGAAGTATCATTAGTATTCGACTGCGATTCCACCTGATCGTATGTCGTGATGCATTCCTGGTTAGCAAATCACACATGTTTGAATAAAGCCTATTTGCCCATCTTTTAAAAATAATCACATTTAAGCTACAGTATTTATATTGTGTGATTCTTTTATAAACTTTGTTCCGGTGGTACAAACATATTGACAGAATTCGTCTTGATATATTAGTATTGAGTGAAGACTCGATACAGTCATGTTCGAATAACGTTATTGCTTTATTGCAAATTATCGTATAACACGCAAACAAAGCAAGATTATAGTAGTTTCAATTCAGTAATCAATAAAGGGTGACAAACATTTATTTAAACTACTAAAAAAACTAACGTACATTAGTTTTTTTTAGGGATGACTGGTTCTTTTATTGTTAGAATAGAATAGAATAATTGTTACTCAATGTAGTATTAATACCTATGGCAATTCACAACGCTTTTTTTAGGTCGTACTTTAACGTATGGTTGTGAAAGTTGGGTATGGCAGAAGAAGCACGAGAGTAGAATAAACGCAGTAGAAATGCGGTCGTTAAGGAGTGTGTTAGGGCTGAATCTGAGTGACAGGGTGAGAAATTGTGTAATAAGAAAAGAGTGTGGTTTTCAAGATGATGTTCTGACTAGGATTAAGTAACCTAACTAGTTTTCCCTAATTAGTCACTCTTTAAAAAAAACAATGGCACTTTGGATTTTAAACCTTTGCGGTCATATACACGGTTAACAATTGTTGTTCTTGGTATATTATAAAGTTTTGATGCGGTGTATGCAGATATTGTTCCATTTTTAACGCATTGATAGCCTCACTTAATTTATCATTATCATATCTGCTTCCATCAGATTTTATTACATATTTTCGCAACATGTTTTATCATATATGTATATCATTTCTGCAACAGTCAAAAGTGCTCTAATATAACAAAATATTACAATTAAAAAGAAAGGGACGTATACAAAACGCATGAAACTTTATTTATCTAAACTAATTTAATAAAAAGAAAACATTTGATTTTTTATTTGTTTGTTATGATTTAGATAACTCAAAAACTACAAGTCCGATTTAAAAAAAAATTAACACAAAAATAGTTAAGTTACACGTAAATTTCTAGTTTAGTTGTAATTTCAAATTGTAGTAGGTACAAAACAGTCAATCAATTCGTTTCACATTTAATCTACCTATGATTATAAATTATTAAAAATGTGTGTTACCCCTGACATGGTGTAAAAGAAACATAAATATGTTCCTCTTTCACCGTGAGTAGTGAGCCTTTTACCCCAGCTATTGTTTTTGGAGGTTTAGATTTCCAATCGAAAGAAACTCATATTATTTATTGTTTTTAAACTGAAATAGTTAATAAAAAGAAATAATTACAGTTTTTTCCGTATATCATTACATTCAAAATATTTCCAGCACTCTTTTTTCACCTGACTATTGGTTCGCAAAAAAACCGCGCTAACTTTGTACTAGTCGAATTCACAGCTGTCAAATGTGTCTTCATTTTTTGTGGCTTCTGAGTTCGTTCAAACTATTTTGCATTCACTGTTTTATTGAAGAAAAGTTCAAAGTCATAAGCACTTCGGTTTACTAGTTATGGTCCCTAGTCCCTCTTACCCCACCTGACCTTATATATATATATATATATATATATATATATATATATATTAACGTGTTTGCAAAGTAAATATATACATATAAATATGTATATAATTGACAACAGGATGAGCAGTAAGTATAAATGTTACAAACTGGTTTCCTTGTAGACATGAGGCAGGATGTCATGTACTCGCTACGCAACACTAGCGTCTTATCCGGATAAATTGTATCATAAAAACTGGTACTAGCTGCAGTGGGTACACCATTTTAATTGTCAGAAACGATTATTTCTGTCCAGCATTATACAACATACAAAAGAAAATAATTGATCGTGTTAATTTTTTCTGCACCTAAAATACCTATATCGTAATTGAAACATAATTTATGTTTTAGTACCCGAATGACCGAGCTTTGCTCGTTTTTTTTTGAAATTACATTTAGATACAAATTACATACTGATGAATAATATTTTTTTTATCTTATTGACATAATAGAAAAATTGAACTGGTTATTTCAATAAAAATCATGAGTGCAATTAGTTTAATTAAAATTTTTGTATTTTTTTAAAATAATAAAAAAGTGCTGGAAATAATAGATTTTCTCACAAAAGAAGGGAACTTGAAAAAAAAAAAAGGAAAAAAAGTCGGACCTTAGACGGGATGCGAACCAAGGCATTAGGATTTTGCGACCGCTCGCTATCCACTTGAGCTATTACGATCATTAACACATTGTCAAAATTTACCTTCTTATATTGTAGCAGTTTTTGATTGCCTGAAAACACGGACAAAAAACATTTTCTAAAAATAAATCCTAGCTAGATCGATTTATTGCCCCCGAAACTGCCTGGACACCAAATTTCATGAAAATCGTTGGAGCCGTTTCCGAGATTCCGATTATATATATACAAGAATTGCTCGTTTAAAGGTATAGGATATATATAGATACTTTTAAGGTAGGAGGACAAGGGTTTGAGATGACAAATTGTTGTTTGAGATGACAAAAAGTGTTGTGGGGTAAGAGATATTCGTGTGGAACCTTAATTATTCGTATAAAATGGACTTTAGGATAACACATACGTCGTATTAACTTGGGTGTTTGCAAAAAAAAAGAGTAGAGAAAAAAAGAGACATGTAGTTTAGTTTCCAGACCAAATGTGTTTTAACAGCAATACGCTTAGATTCATTTTTCAATATAAATTCAAATCCAAATTATTACTTATCAAATTACTGACAAATATAATGTTAACATTAGTCTATTATTGTTCACAGATTCCAAGATGGCGGCGAGATTATGAGGCCGAACCACAAACGACTTTTAGGTGAGTCCGGAATGTAAATTTGTTGTGCAAACATGCTCGAGCATATAATGGACCCATTATGGTATTTAATCTACATGGATGAATGCCCTGTTGGGTAAAGTGTAGGGTGTGGTGACGGCGAACTCAAAGCCTAAGAAATTATAGCACGACCCACGCTTCCTCAGTGACAGAATTAATTCATTTGATTACTTTGTCATAGTTCACGATGATTTATTGCTAGACTTGCTTCCACATAAGGGCATGTACGGAAACGACGCATATAGAACTCTCGATTGCTTCATTGCGGTTTCCGAATGAAATATGACATCAATTAGTATCCTATTGTGACTGGGACATGGTAACCTAGAACTGCTACTGTTCAAACTCCTTTGTGTTTAGAATTAAAGCCAGTCATCATCTTTATTAATCGTATTTTATGATAAACTTTACTTTACTAATAATTTCGTATAATACAATTTTTATATTTTTAACACATACACATACATAAATGTACACATAATAAATATACGGATACAATACTATATATATATATATTCATATATATACATATACATATACATATATATATATGTATATATATATATATATATATATATATATATATATATATATATATATATCTGAAGTACCTGGATGATGGAGCTTCGCTCGGTATTTTTTTCGGAAATAGTGTTTTTTGGAAATATTTAGATACAAATTACATACTGATGAAATATGAATATTTTTGATCTTACCGACATAATATAAAAAACTGAAATGGTTATTTGAATAAAAAATCATGAGTGCAATTAGTTTAATTAAAATTTTCGTAAAAATACTAAAAAAGGGCTTGAAACAATAGATTTTCTTACAAAATAAGGCAACTTGAAAAAAAAAAAGGAAAAAAGTGGTACCCAAGAACGGGACTCGAACCATGGTGCTACGATTCCGAGACTGTCCGATTTCTCAATAAACTATCATAATCATTAACATATTGTCAAAAGCTATATCCTAGCTAGATCGACTTATTGCCCTCGAAACCCCCTGGACACAAAATTTTATGAAAATCGTTGGAGCCGTTTCCGAGATTCCGATTATATATATATACATACATACATACATACAAGAATTGGTCGTTAAAAGATATTAGGTAAAGGTATTAAACCCTAATTAATGTTATTAGACGCCGCTATTTTCGAAAGATGTTTCTGAACCAATCTTATGAAGGCTACCTTATTTGGTGCTACTACCTTTGCTATTCGGTCGTCAAATATATACGAAAATCTTTGCTAATGCCGATTATAAGTTTAGTTAAAATGCCAATAATAAACGTTTTAGTGTTTCGTACTGTAGGAGTTGTAAGAGGCGACTTAAGGCCTTGATCGCCGGGCGAACTTTACCACGATGTTGATTGTTTGCCGGTGAACCTTTTTGTTGCGAGCCGACAAACATAGAAATTATCAAATAAGCTTTAAAACAAGAATAAATAGGGTTAACATTTTCTAAGCTATCGCATTTTACTACATAACAGCAGGTGTTATAGCGTATCGCCTTTGCTTTATCTTGCCACATCAATTGCTATCAGAGTGCTAGTCAAATTTTTGTCTAAAAGCTTCTCAACTTAAAACGAGATGTGTCATCCATAATTGTAAATATATAAACGATCGCAAATTTGTATTGATGCTTGGTACAGTTCCGTCACGATCGGAGGTGTTACCAATATTACCGTCAGGCCTTTTGTTAACGGCGTGTTGTTGCAAACCTGATGTATTATTTCAATAGGTTGCACAAACAAACGCTATCAAGAATTACTTATACGATAATGTCAACTGTGCACGCTAGCTCTGTAGAATTTTTAATAGTTTTATGAAAATATCGCTTTTGGGGTTTATAAATAAAACGTCGGAAATCAAAAAAAAAGTAATAACGCGCAAAAAAAATAAGTATAAACGCTATAAAACCCGCATATTATGTAGTTTTATTCAATATGTAGCGTTCGCGTAAATTTAAGAAATTACTATTTAAATAACCTTATTTTACGGGTAAAAGTTTCGATAGACACAATATTTATAAAGTTATTTTGATCAAAATAAGTGTTTAGTGATTATAAGTAAGAGAGTAGTGATTATAGAAATGTGTTTATATACTTGTTGCTAGAAGAAAGAAACAGTTACTAAAATTTTCATCCATGCAACATAATATAGATATTCAAATAAACGTAGAACTTCGCTTTCTGTAGGCCTTACAATTACAATAGGACCGTTTTAGAGCAAATCCAATTACCTGTGGCCGCGGCTTTATGGTGGATTACGCAAAGGAATAACAATTTAAGAGTATTATAAAACAGAGACTCAGTTAGTTACAATGTTCCTGTCATGTCATTTAACCCGTATATATAACAGCCCACTGCTGAAAGTTAGATCAAGTTGAGAAATATACCTTAATCACCGCGATTGACGTGGAGGTAGGCTGTCCGCGCAATTTTAATAAAATATGGAAAATATATTTAACCGATATAAATATAATTTATATTATACTGTACGACATTCACAATAGTAGTGGTGCTGGAATATCTACTATCCCATATCGTTCTTTGTGTGTCGTTAGAGACGACATAGTGAAATGAAGCAGGCGAATGAGGCAGCAGCATTTTCCTGATAACTACTTAAAATAAACAATGTGGTTGACAGCCTGTTAGACAAGCGATACAATGTTCTGCTGCGAATTTTTTAAAGGCTGCATTGGTAAAATGGTATATAGCGTGAATGGCATGTCGACCACATTGCATATGAAATATCCAATCGAGCGGCTTCAGTTAAATTAATTTAATTCAGTTATAAAATGGATCATTAGTTACACGTTGGTCTAGTGGTTGTAGTAGTGCGACTGCTGATCATGAGGTGCTGGGTTCGAATCCCGGGTCAGGCCAAAAAGTCAATTATTGAGTTTTTCTGTCAAGAAATTCTCAGTAGCTGCCCGGAGTCAGGAAGTTGGTGGTGTCTCACCCCCGTGCCTCGGAAAGCACGTAAAGCTGCGCCTGATCTCTCTCCCGGTCGTGTCGGTTTACCATCCCATCGGATTACAAAAGTGAGGGAATAGCGAGTGCACCTGTGCTTGCGCATACACTTGGGCACTAAAATCCTGTCCTGCGCCGATGGCTAGCCTCCGTTGAGGCAGGTCGCCGTGGCCGAAATTCGGTCTGGAGGACATTACATTAGTTACAGTCTCTTTGTATAATAAATACAATACAAATAGTGTTACATTTTCTAACATCAGTTAAAACTGTTAACAAAATATTGTATCAGCTAAATTGCCTCACTGACTACCAAATCGACGCGGACCACACGTAATGCAGTACTGCACGCTACTCTGAAATCACATTAACTTAATCTTTCAAACAACACGAACGTTCGCAACTATTAAGGTCTTTTACAATACCTAGTGATACCGGGTCCAACATCTGCACGAGGAAGGATTTCGCGACTATTAAGGTCTTTTACAATAATACTGGGTCCAACATCTTTACGAGGAGGGAGGAGTTCGCAACTATTGAGGTCTTTTACAATAATAATATTGGGTCGAAAATCTGTACATGGAAACACAGGGCTGGTTAAAAACTATTTATGTTTAGGTATTTATTTTCAAACAAAATTCCTACTTGATTTTATAATTTTTCAACTAAAAGTTACAGGGCTTATTATATAGCATCTGTCACGCCTCCAAAAGGACTAATACACCACTGCGGGATTATTATCCGATTGTCTTAGTAGAAAGGTGATTTCTTCCTGTTTATATGTGTATATTTGCGTGTTCCATAGATGGTGTATTTTTAGTTGAGAGGTGTCGTTTTTATGTTATTCGTCATTTACTCCAGAATGTCATAGCCTAAATTATATTGTAATATTATTATGGTCGAATAATACTATTATATTAGCATAGAAGTATAATAAGATTAATACGACTCTCTAAAAACGTGATCGCTGTTACGTTTTTCGTTTTTAATAATAATATTATGCTTTAAATAATCAGCTTATTCATTTCGTTCTGATTGAAAATTACAGTTGCTCATAATTATAAAAAAAGTAAAGTAGTCTTCAACCAGTGCGTTCTGCCCGTGCTCACTTATGGTGCCGAAACCTGGACACTGACGATACGGGTGCTCCAAAAGCTCAAAGTCGCTCAGCGAGCAATGGTAAGAGCTATGCGCGGAGTTTCTCTTGTAGACAAAATTCGAAATGAAAAAATGCGCCGGAGAACCAAGGTTACTGACATAGCCTTTCGTGTTTGTAAGCTGAAGTGGTAATGGGCAGGTCATGTCTGTCACAGAAGTGACAACCGGTGGAGTAGACATGTTATGGGGTTTGGAGACCACGTCCCCCCCCTCCCGACCCCTGACCAGATGGAGCGACAATCTGCGCAAGGTGGCTGGTAGAAACTGGACGTGTGTAGCCGAAGATCGGGCTAAGTGGCGCGCCTTGGGAGAGGCCTATGACCACAGTGGACTGCCGCAGGCTGATGATGATGATAATTATAGTAATTGATATAGAAAAGATAAATGTAGTAATTGTTTTTGTGATTTTTATAAGACCAAACACCTCCATTGGTTTTTTCGTAGTAATCATTACAATCGAAAAATTTTAGGTACCTACTTTGCAAAATAAGGTTCGGTTTGATTAATAGTAGTTATACATAATTATAGCTTTTTTTCCAGATTGTTGTTTTAATTTAGTAATTGTTGTTGTTATTTTTATAAGACCAAACGGCTCCATTCGTTTTTTCGTAGTAATCGTTACAATCGCAATTTTTTAGGTACTTTGCAAAATAAGGTTCGGTTTGATTAAATAGTAGTTATATATAATTATAGCTTTGTTTTTCAGGTTGTTGTTTTAATGTTCATGTCTATTTTTTAGGATGAGGGTTGCAAACGAGCACAGTCCACCAATTGGATACCGTGGCTCATACAAATCTACATTTATCGCCAATTAAGAATCAAAATGACGCGTTGACGTTATAAGCTTAGT